ACCATTATCCCCTCTTCCCCGCGTTTTTGGGCCCAATTTACCCTGTATTGTACATGATAACGAAATGACTTGCCTTAACGTTTGCGGAGTTTTTGTGAGGATTGTGATTATCACAATCGTTTTGGCTACCTATCGTGGGCAGTTCAGTGTATTTTGAGGAGAGCTGGTGTTGTATCCTGTATGTGGCAGCTACAGCTCATGTAATCGTAGAGAAAATGTCTAAATTTACAGCTACCTTCATTCACAAGTTTACATACATTCATTTGATTAGATCACTGCGGTCTCCACAACGCCATCAGTTTGCGACCTCCATCACTACCCGACATGGCGCTCGAGCTTTCACTAGGGACATTATCGTCTCTGTCGGATGCCTGCGCTCTTTGGTCTACTGGAGCACCCAGTCTGAGCGTCTCCAACCCCGGTGGAATGTTAGCGCCGCCTCCCCAAAGCTCGTGCCAAATTTGACTGCAGGTGGCAGCGTTTGTCGCCGCAGTCGGATCGTGATGTTGCATCTTTTGACCTAGATAGATCTTGCCCTTAGCACTTGAACTGTCGGCGGGTGTCCCCGCGAATCTTGTCTCGGTACACTCGACGCAATAGAAGGTAGTTTCCCACGGATTCCTCTCGGTCGCATAGCGAGCATACCTTGCAAACGTACTGTCGAAGCTTTCTCAATTCATTGCCGTTCTTGCCTCGCGTCGTACGGTACAATTCGGCTTGCATAGTTATATGCCTTGTCGATAGGCTGTATCTCGGAGTCGGCGAACGGAGTACCGTCGTGTCAGTCAGCTCGCGAATCGACAAGTCACCTTCGAAATTTGATACCCTAACAGCCAGCAGGGACATCTACATTACTCGCATAAAGTGCGCATGCGTTGGTTGAGTTGAACCAGTTGTGCGATCACCTTGCACGCGGCGAATGATGATAAACGCGTTGATCAGAGCCATGTTAACAAGCCATACTGTGGTAGTACTTCCGCATTTGATGGCACCCTGTACAATTTAGGAAAGTTAAATGTAGGTCACTTTGGGTCATGGTTTATACAGCGCATGTGTAATGCAAGAAAAAAAAGACCTGATTTGAGTATCTCTGTAGCCGCAACTGTTTGAGTACGTCAGCCCATCCCATGTTGTCTTGATACTTCTTGACAAGGCGCGGTGCCGGTACATCGACAACTGTGGAGCCCTTACGCCTCGACAGAGTTGCTGCTTCTGTGCTGCAGCCCGTGGGGATGAAGTGTACGGGACGGGTATCCATCCACGATACCGCAATTATGCTGGGTTCATCCTTGGACTGCGCGATACGATATGACCCTCGTGTCATCGTTTTGGGTCGCTTCGCATTCTTGCACGAAATAGCTTTGCAGTAACCACGTCTGTTAATTTCAATTGTAGCAACATGGTAGAGTCCACGCTACAGGAGAATCGAAGACAGCAGTACGCTTGAGTAGAATCGATCCGTGTGAATGAGTCGTTTCTTGGGAAGACTGTCGAGGATTGCATCAACATTGCGCAGGACAACGTTGAGGCCTGGGCTCAGATCCGCGCTGTCTGTGTCGACCTTCCTTAACACCTCAATTCTATACTGTGGTGTAGTGATTTCTCCGTAGTTGCGGATTATCACCCGTCGACAAAGACGTGACACCGCCCAAGTTGTTCAAGCGACGAACTCTCGGTCAGGTGATGTACGGAGACGCTAAGGTGCAAGGAACTCGACGGCGTCACCTCCGAGTTTTCAACAAGTATCGGATACGGCTCTATGTCACTGAAATCCAGG